TAAGAAATCTCTCTTGTAGAATAGATCTTGATTAAGATCTATTAATTCGTCTTGTTAATAAACTGAATATTACATCTGTCTTAAAATTACATTTTTGGAATTAGACTACATTCTAGCTAGTCACAACAAGAATACTATCATTACCTATCTTTAGATTAACTTGGAAATAATAGTAGAAATATTCTTGTTAATAAACCTCTTAAAGACTCTTCCAAATATTGCTTTAAGCACATGGTCACTTTTATCACATACTTTTGTAATATTAGGTTTAATACTTGCTCTCATCTTAGAACTTGCATCAAAAAGGTAACAATATAAAATAATATATCAAATAAATTATTTCTTATTTCAATTAATTATGTGATATTAATATATATTAGAAGTTAAAATTAAAATACTATCCAAAATATTGTATATGAGTTTTTTCAAGTGATATCATATATATTTTCATATGCAAATGTTTATTTTATAAAGTTAATATTATTTATAATAGTAAGATTTCATATATTATTATCATATATTAATCTTTCTTTTGAATATGTAGTCAACATATATTTTTTTTCAAGATATTACTTATAATAATATGAATGAAAGATAATATATACTATATATAAAATTGCTTGAAGAGTTGAAAGAAGTTTTGGTTTTTTATATAAAGAAGTCATGATTTGAGTAAGCTAAATTTTCCAGTCTTGAAAAGTAATAGTAAGTATAATTAAAGTAAAAAAACAAATTATTTTAGAAACTTGTAAATTATTAAAAGATTTGAATGGTTGATTACATTATTTTCATTTTCATTCAATAATTAAATATTTTTTCTTTTCTAACATAGTGATTAAATTCATAAAAAAACTAGAGAGACATGAAGAAAAAGTATCATAATATTCTTTTAAAGAATTCAGATTTTCCAAGCAATTTAAATTTTGTTTGAGACTTGAACATAAGTGCCATGCTTTTCCAAGTTACATTACTATTTTAATAAGAAATAGATTGATATTGAAGTATTTTTGATATATATGATGGTTTGTTTTTATTAAAGAGATTTAATGCAGAAATCAAAGCTAATAATAATTCTTCTTTTACTATTTTATTATTAGATATTGCAACAGTTGAAATTCATTGTGCAAATATTGTTAAAGCAATTGCAGTATCATTGATATGCTCATTTTTTTCTACGTAAGTTTTTATTTTAGTTTCTAATCCCTGTGATATATATAAATATCCTTCATTTTTTTGAAAACATTCTATATATATATCATGTCCATTCATTTGTTTGAGATTTTAAAGCGATTATTGAATTTGTATTAAATACAGGACAAATTCGTAGCATATTACAGAGAAGTTGAATATTTCATTCACATATTTTCCATAAATACTCAATATAATTTTGCTCTCGGCTAAAAAATATTTTGTTTTTATTATAAAAAAGATAATGTCACTTTTTTACAAGACTTTCATTAACTGATCATTCCTGTTTTGTGTTAGAACTATGAATTTTGATCTATGATGAGATTTGCAAACATCCAATATATGTAATGCATTTTTAGTCTTCGTAACAGCAATTTCATCAATTTCCTATGTGCCAAATAATTGACCTAATCTTCATAATTCTTGGGTTTTATTACAACATTTAATTTTACCATTCATAATATCCTGATCAATGATAACACAAGCTGTTAAAATTGTGAGTTTCCTTGTGAATACTTGGAATTATTAATTCTTCCTCTTTTTCGATATTTGTATTTGCTAAAGATATCATTTCCGAATTAAAATTATAATCAACTTCATTCCAGTTTATATCTTCTTCATCAGATATGGCAGTATTTTTTGCACTTATAAATACTTGAAAATCATATTCGAGAATTTCATTTATTTCATTTTTATTATTTAAGGTCCATTCCATATAATTGGAATCACCAATACTTGTTGCTGACTCTTCTTGTTCTAAAGAATATGAGTGTTCGCTACTTTCAATACCAACAGAAGAAATGGTTGCCATTTTTAATATTAAGATCCTTTTGAGAATTCTCGGAATATTGTAAAAGCATATTAACAAAGTGATAAAACTTGTCTTTGGGAAGCAATAATATTATAAAAACACTGTATTTAATTAGAAATGTCACGTAGTTGCAATAGAAGTGAAGATAATTTTTCTTGTGATTTTTATAATACGTAATATGTAAATGATATTGATCATTACATTTGCCTTTATTTTTGCGTGACAGTTGAATCAACCCACTGTTAACCCTATTAACCCGTTAATGTAGATCTTTAACTAATATGACGTACAATTGTCTGAAATTAATGAAAAGTTTACTACTTTTACACAAAGATCTTTTAAAAAATATTTCAGTTATAGCAACAATAATTAGATGAATAAAAGGTAAAAAACTTGAAAATTAATTTCAATTAATAACATGAAATAGGTGGATTTGTAATATTATGATGTTGTGATAGAACCAAAAATTTTGTTTTTCGACATTTTACTAAGAAACATATAAGTGTAACAATGATTTATGCATTCGCTAATCCATTAATTAATACACTGGAAGAGACATGTCCTGTGACCGGTTAGATCAACAACATGGAACACTCATTGTCGTCATTAACTAATGACGAATCAACAATTATAACAGAAACCACATCTTTACAAGACACACATGAAAATAGTAGTAGTAATATCAATTATTCTAGCACAATTTCTTCCATTTCCTCTATCCTAACAGATCAATTACCAACGAATCTTGACCAATTTCTTGCAAGACGCACGTCATCATCGGCTTCATCGTTGTTCGGAGCAAGTAGTATTACTAGTGTCGGGTCACATTCTACATTGGATATTAACGCCCAAGAAGTAGTATTAAAAGAAAAATCAAAAAAAGGTATTTATTTATGCACATCCGTTTTGATTTCCATGGAAACTCTTAAGCAATGGATTTTAAAGCGATTTTTGGACTTAATACGTAAAAAACAACCAGCATGTGCAGACATAGAATTATACACCCGTCATTTATTAAACGATTCCTCATTGGGATTATATCATATGAGCGAACATATTCGTAAGAAAGTTCCACAATTTGTGGAAGAAAAAGTAGGTTAATTGTTATCAACTGTAATTAATTAAAGCCAATCGATTGTTTCATGAATTGAATTTTATTGTTGCCCAGAAAAATTTGATCGCGCTCTCAAACACGCTAGACCTTGCAACAGCAAACATTACAGATTCCCGTAAGATAATAGAGAATATCTCAAACCTTAAACAATTTACCAATATTACAAATTTACTAAAAAATACTTTGGAAATAATCGAGAAAAAGTGATTAAATTATTGATTCTATAATGTTTTCAAGCTCTTGATACAGAGGATAAAAATACACAATTAAAATACATCAGTAGTCAAGTATATATACAAAAAAAAATAAAATAAAATAAGAAAAAAGTTTAAAAATCTAATTTCATGATAAAGAGGTGTTTAAAACCAAAATTATCTCGAAAGATTATTTTTTATTATTATTGTCACTATTGTTTGTTATTAGCATCATCATTATTATTATCATCTTCTTTATCGTTGTCAATATCAACTAATGTTGCTTCTGCTTCTAATTTTTTTTTTTCCTGAATATCAGAATCAGTATTCATCGAATTATTATTACTACTAAAATCAGCAACACCATTTTCACTAATAATACTACTGTCGAAACTATCCTCTCTTGTAACATCGGTAAAGTGTACCATGCGTATTCGCTCAGTCACATTTTCATCACCTTCAATAACTGGTATATTACCACCTAAAATGTCAAGTACATCCCTTGCACTTCGAACATCTGGTAAACTTAGACGACGTAAAGATCCTGATTCGTAATCCATTGAGCTAACTCTTCCCAATGGCCCTGGATTTGTCTTACGGCGTCTTAACGATGGCATAATCATTTGCCCAGCGCCTTCTTCTTGTGAGAAAGCATAACCACGCATTGATGTTGTTATTCCAGTTCGCATGTTGGTCATGCTTGCGGTTCCTTCAATCGTATCATTCGAGACTGCTATATATTCCATTGGGATTAAGGGTGCCGGTGGTATGTTTGATGCTGAATCATGTAATATAGACATAGACATTGTACGATCTGTTGCGAAACTTGTACGTGGAGATTGTGACAGTTCCCGGTCGTTATATAATGGTTTTACAGATTCGGATGTTGTATGTTTTGAATCACAAGTACGTTGTCTTCGAAGATTTGTAGCATATGGCGGCATGAAATTAGGATCATGTATGAAATCATGATTCGGATCTTGTTTACAAATTTCTTGTACGATATCAATATCATGGGGTCTCAAAAGTCGTTGTGTGTATCTGACCAAGTATCGGGGTAGCAATGAGAGGACCACTGTTAATAAAAGACAAAGCCAAAACACTGCATTACCGTAAATAGCTTCTTCGTATCCATAAATCTCTGAAATTGGAAGAAGAGCGTAAATCGCAATATAAATGTAGATCAACGCGATTGACCCAAATACCGTTACGAAGTGAAGTACCGTCCAGCATTGCATATTGAATCCAACAAATAAATTCGCTAGCATTATACAAGCCACGGCCATCGTAGTACCCATTTCTAAAATATCTGGTTCACGTCCTTTATGATTGACAGTCCCTCGTTGATATGCAAAATACGGTACAAAGAAGCACACCAATGATTGATAAAGTCCTTCGGCCATGTAGATGAAGAATCGGAACATTGAAAAGGCTTTCTGTAAAATTCCCCATTGATATAATTCAGGGATTTCGATTGCAACTCTGTCCGAGAAATCTCGATCAAACACGCCTATTGCCAAAACTGCTGTGCATGTGAAAAATAAATTCCAGAAAAGTACATATGTATATTCGAATACTACGGTGGTTGAAAAGCCACAAAAAAATTGAAACCAAAAGAGAACACCAACACCGATAAGATTTTTGTAAAAGAAATTCAAAATCATTGATGTATTACGGACATATGCGTAATGACCATGAACAAGCAATAGACGCGTCAAATATCGAAATTGAGCTATAGCGTAATCTGAAGCCATGACAGCCTGTAGTCCTTCTTCGCCAGCCACACCAATTCCAACATGTGCGGCCTAAATAGCAATTTAAAAGATCTATAGCCTAAAAAACAATAATACTAACAAGATGGGTGAGAAATATTATTTACCTGGATCATACTAACGTCATTAGCACCATCACCAATAGCACAAGTCAACACGGATTTTCCTTGTTTAACTAGTTCAACTACTTTTGCTTTTTGTAGAGGGGACACACGACAACATATAACTCCTTTACAGCGACAGGCGAGATCCAGTAATAAATCTCGACTCCATGGCTCTTCTAATGCATGTTTAAGAGCTACGCCATCAATTATGAGAGCGTGACCACCAGCACGAGGAGTCGTCGATACACCCGACATCATTGAATATACTGATCCGGTGCTCATTTCACGTGTATGTGATGTGGAAGTACTCGGAGCGTTTTTAAGTTGATTCACCGGTGGGACTTCAGTTGATTGAATTTTTTGTTGAATTTCTGGGTCTGTGCCGAAGAATTTTTCCACAGCATTTCTCATCTGCTCATATGCGCTACCTGATTCCCCATATGCACCGCCACGTATAACTATCAAACTCATCTCTTTACTCAACAGACAAGTGGAGAATCCAATACTAATTGCTGTCTCCATCTTATCACCAGTCAAAACCCAAATTTTGATACCAGCACGTTTCAGAGTTGCGATACATTCAGGAACGCCATCTTGAAGACGATCCTCAATAGCAGTTGCTCCAAGAAGAGTGAGATTTTGTTCAATTTGATTACAAACGGTTTCAACCCTTTTTTCGCGTTCAGTAATTGATGTCGAAGCTTCACGGTATTCGATATTCCATTTTTCATATTCTTTGACGTCAATAGTCTTTTTCGCCAAACACAAAGTTCTCAGACCTAGAAACAGTAAATAACCAGTCAGTGATTGTATTCAATAATTTAATTGACGTTATATATTACCTTCTTTTGCAAATTCTTCTAAATGTTCACCAGTAGTGTTCAACATATAATCTTGGCCGGTTCTTAATCGTTCAAAGATAACATTATCGGCACCTTTACAAAACAATGTGATTGTCCCATCTTCGGGAGATTTTAAAATTATACTCATTCTTTTCCTTGCACTGGTGAATTCTAAAATATTTAATAACTCATATTGAATTTCTCTACCCTCTGGGTCAGTAATAAAAATGGTGTTAGATTCACGAGATCGGAAAGTAAAACCAATATCTTTTGCCGCCTTGACAAGCGCTGCTTCATCAGGTGATTGAGCCTTATAATTCTGCTCGCCTTCCGGTGTTGTGCTGACAAGAACAGTATGACACACAGCTAAAAGTATCCAAAAATTCTTAATTGCCTCTGCATGTTTTAAATCATTCGGATTATTCATATCGTTCAATAATTCCACATCAGTAAAAGGAAGTTTGTCCGGTTCTGCAGATGAACTCAATGTGCTAGAATTCTTTAATGGATCTAAAATTTTAGAGTTGTTTTTTGGTTCCGCAATATCTATATCTATTTTTTGGGTTTCTGGTATAGTTCCGTGATATATCTTTCCCGCTATGGAACATCTTCGAAACTCCATCACATTTTGGGTAAGTGTGCCAGTTTTGTCCGAAAATATATATTCAATTTGACCTTAGCAAAAAAAGACAAAGTCCGAATTAAATAAAAATCACCAACGATTAGATAGATGGTAGACAAAAGAAATATTTATACCCAAATCGTCAGATAAATTCCAATTTTTTGGAATACACGGCGTATCAGTCTTTTTATATCGCATTTCGTCATCCATGTAAATGAAGAAAGCCTGTCATAATACAGATAATAATGTTAATTGAATAATTTTATGACTTGAATCTTTTAAAATTCTAAAGGGAAACGATGAATACTTGAACGCTTTTAATAAATTCGATTGAGAGATAAAGAGAAATCGGGACAATATTCTGAAATGTGACCATTGCATTCCTAATAATAGAAAATGATAGTTATAGTATAATCTGCATTACATAATAAAATTTACGATAAGATCGAACAAATTAAATTACCAAAAAGCAATGAAAGCGTTGAATCCAGGTTTATCAGTACTGGTTCCTTTTTGATTCAAAAAAGGAGAATCTCTGTTTACGTAGATCGCTTCCCAAATCCTTGTTCCAATGGCACATAAAACGCACAAGATTACCATTAGAGCCAAATTAATTCCTCTAAAAAATTATTGGAATATAAAAAGTTAAAATTGACATTGTATTGAGATCCCCTTTGAATAAGAAAATGCACATCAATCTACAGATAAGTACATTTGCGGATTCATTTGTTTTTCAATTCGACTTCGCTTCGATGGAGTTTTACCAGAATTCAACGCAAGTTTCGTGTCAGTTCCAGTAAACACCACTACTCCAATTACCCATTCTGTGTTTTTCAATACACAACCTCTCAATAACATTGCATTCAAATTAATCGGCACTCTTATTGCGCCACTACGAGGACGTGGTCGACCTGGTAGACCTTCTGGAAATACTAAAGTTGCATTATAGCTGAATAAATTCGTGGTCGGTGGTTCAGAATCTACATAGAATTTAATAGATGCGCAGTCTTTCGGTGTATTGAGGTGATCTGTTTCGGGAACTGTTTGTCGAATTTTTAAATTTGTTTCACCATCGAGATTTTTAGTTTCGACATAACATAAGGAATTCGGCTCAGATGTGGAAAGTATAAGAACATCTAGTGATAAAAAGATAATTATGTGATTAATAGATCATAAAATGAAAAGACCATCATTTAACACCATATCTGGTAGGAGATCGCTGAAAATATAAATTACCAGCTGGAATAAAGTCATCATTTTTAAGTTTGATGAAATCGCCCACTCGCACATCTTTCCATAGAGTTTCTTGCCATTCAGGTTCTCCTTTTTGATCAGGTCTTTGTATTGATTCTCGCGTAAGAAATGATTTTATACGCTGAATAGTAGACAATGAATGAAAATCAGCGTAATTATAATTTTGCCAATTCCGAAGTGTCCATGTCTTTCGATTATTTAAAGTCTTGTCTGTTACATGACGTTTCCAATCTTCAAATCCATCCTTTATAGCCGTAATACTTATAATAATAAACATAGGCAATGCCGACACGACAGGATTTATAGTCGCGAATTCTGGAAGCCATTGCAATATGACCAACGCGAAAAAAAAAAAGTTGGCTACACGCCGAAATTGCTCGTACAAATTTTTTGGTATAAATGTTAAGATGGAATATTTCGAAGTTTTTACTTTGTTTGTGACATATTTTTGAACTGGTCGTCCTTTTGCATCAAGTTTACTTTTCGGTAGTGGCTCATTAACAAACACTTGACGTGCTAATGCTTGGGGCTTTCTTCGTTGCCAGAAATTTATCTTATCCAAAAACATTGTTGCCCTGGATTCCACCTTATTCTATGCTTTCGCCTCACTGCAACAAATAATAATATTTATATTAAATACAAATAAAAAGGGAGGCAAAGCAGAGTGAGGAATTCAGAATAGTGCGACAAAAAATTTCAAGTTTTGTCCCAAACACAAGTATCAATTGAGCTATTTATTTGATAAGCCCCGATGATCCAATTGCAGAAATATATTATCCGCGGGGTATACTGCCAGTTCCCGATGTCACGTTACCTGCACTCCACGCGACATAAAATTAAAGCAAGCGATCTAAACTGGGAGCAATAAATTCTGAAACACTAATAAAACATCAATGGTTCATGACTCCAATAAACTAAACACGTAATTTCCAAATATGAACTTTATTCAAAGATGATTTTCGTTTGTTACGAATGCAGCCATTGAAATAAAAATGATTGAATTCCACACAAAGGCTTTTACTGTTACGAACGTTAAAATTTTGAACGCTATTCTTTTCGTGTCATTGGAATGGTCAAAGTATTTGTTATTTATTCTTTGAATTTCAGGGGAAATATTCGTGGAATAGTAATCTAATACTATTTCGCAATTGATTATTTGATTAATTCATAAATATTTTTGCGTATAATAATTTTGGGGCTCAATATAAAGTATTTTCTTGAAAAGGAAAAATGACGCGATCTCTGGTTCTTTTACTTTCATGAGATCAAACTTAATGAAAGTATAAATAGAATAATCAACTCTCGTTTGTATGTTGTTTGGGATGATTAATCATAAAAAATCTATGCTTAAAACCACCCTTTGTAAAGTTGAATGGGATCCCATTCCATCAATTTCTACAATTTTATTTTTATTGGTCAATTCAGCATTATATATTTGATAATAATAGAGTATTTATTAAATTAATGAATCATGCATATTCTTATGTTTCATTTCCCAAAAAAAGAAAAAGGGTTAGCATTCTGATGAACTGAACCTTCGAGTAAATTTCGGATTTTGATCTTTGGCATAGAAGTAAAACTTACAAGGATTAAAATGTTTTATTTATATTACGAATATTGATCGAAAATGCCGTATATTCTACAATATTGGGTTATCAATATATGGTATCTTATACCAATTTGTAGCTCTTATTTTCATAAGACTTGGAACAATTTTATACTGCAAAGCTTTACCTCGATTAGTCATAACGATAAAAATAATAGTTCTAAATAAAATTGTATTTTTGGAAAGATTCTGGACCACAAAATTAGATGATGGTATATACATTTAAAAATGTCAAATTAAAAAATTTGCTACCACCGAAGCCGTGATGGAAATTTTTTCCAGGTCGATTATTATATTCTTTAAACATTCACAATATATATTCTCACGCGGACAAGCAGATAGAAAGATACGAACGCTCACCAATACACATTCTTTTATCATACAATATTTATAATAATGTCGTTGTTTTCGACAAATGAAACAGAGAAAGACGTTGACGAACCATACATATACGTACTAATTTTCTTTATGGTATTATTTTTCTTTGGGGGAATAATGTGGATATTTTGCTGTGGAACTTGTGTTGGTAGAGAAGCTTTACGAGCTTTTGGACTTGGAAAACTTGTGCCGAGCGACGATGGCAGTGGTTTAATTTCAAACCGAAACAAAAATAGAAAAAACAAAGATGATGAGAATAATAATAGTAATAGTAGTGGTAGTGGTAGTAGTAGTAAGTTTAATTTAATAAATTATTCAAGAACAATGGCAAGTATGAAAAAAACGCCAGAGGAAGAATGGGAAATGCTTGAAGAAGGTCGTGATGGTAATAATAGTAGTGCCGAAGAATGGGATGATGACTGGGATTAGCTTTTTAACTTGGAGAATCGATTAATTTTAATAATATATAAGCTTGCCTGATTTAGCTTTTTTATTATTGATTCTGTATTTATGTATGTTAAAAAATTTGAACGCAGGATAACACCAACAATAAACTCGATGCTTTCTATTAATGAGGATGAGTTATATCGTTATCTTATTTTACACCTTGGGATCTGAATTAGTTAACGATTCTTTCCTGTCCATTGCGAATATTTCCTCCTCTTTTTTTTATGTCGAATATCTTGTTGGCTGCGGAGATTCTATTAGCGATAGTAGCTCTTTTTTTAATTCATGGTGGATCAAGAAGCATGAACTTCCCAGAGGATTTAATCTTCGTTTTTTCTTGAATCGCAAATTATAATGAACTTTGAGGTATAGTAGTGATAGTGATCTTGTTAACAGCTATAGCCAAAAAGATTATCCTAAAAAGGAAAAGTAAATCACACGAACGAAACAAGAGAAACAAAGGATCGGAATCAAAGGAGGATATTCACTATTCATTCTTTCTTTAATCTTGCCTTACTCTGGATTTCCTATGTAATCCGCATTATCATTGTTATCTTAATCATTCTCATAGCACTTGATAATTTCACCATCAAAAAATCCATCGATGAGTTAGATTATTTGAAGGAAGAAAACTTTATCGTGGAATCTATTAGAAAACAATTAACTTCTTAATCAGTTATTAATACAAGTTCAACCTTTCAGAAATAATCAGAAAATTCAATAAATATGATATTAGAGCGTTTTTCTAGGAGAATAGTGCCAAAATATTAAACACAACACCCTGGAAATTCATAATTACAAAATAACCATGTTCTGTATATTTGTGGCGAGAGCTTACATTCGTTCGTAACATGTCTCGTCAATAATTCATCCTGATAGATATAATACGCGCAGTCCATCTTTTTAATTTACCACAAAATAAACTATTTTGGTTGAACTGATGAACCATTTTCCGAAGATAACTACCATTTGGCCTTAAAGTAAATAAGCTCTTTATAAAGAACTATATTTATCATTAACACTTTATTTTTAACCAAACTTAGCCATCGAAATAATTTATAATACATGTACATATATGTTACATAAAACACAGTAGTGTTCTTTTTGTTTTCGCACTAACCTCCCAGAACAGCAATCATCTACTCTCACAAGTGTGAATCTTTTGATAACACGTGTGTGTGTGTGTGTTATTAAAGCCTTTGGTCATATAAATCTTAGCTTTCCCAATCTTGCTTGTTTGTTTGCAAATATTCGAAAATGGGCTTATCACATTTAAATACAAAATCCATTTATTGTATGTTGTTCTCGCATCTATCAGATCGATTCTTGTAAATGAGAGTTCATCACTCACTATATCATCATCATCATCATCATCATCATCAAGGGATTTATTATCAGGCACGCATAATAGAAAAAATTGCTCTGCTAGAATTGTTTTTTCTTGGTCACCCGCTTCTTAAGTTCTCTTTTATAGAAGTGCTGACTATTGGTTGACTTGGAGAAGAATCATCATCTAAAGGATCAGAACTTGAATACCTGGATATTATTTCAGTTTTCTTTAGAGGAGAGGATATCATTTTGTGTGAAAGATCGTCGACATGTCGGACAAGATCCATGATATTCTAACCACGAACGTAGACAAGATCTATTCTCGATATGTATGGGAAAAATCAGTATCATATTATAATTAAGAGACAAGAATCAAATTGGTTCTTACAAATGAAACATGTGTCCGCATGGCAGTTTCTTGGCACAAGACATTGAATCTCTGCATATCGCACAATCGTCATTATACTCTTCCAGTTCTGATTCTGTCGCATCCGGATATCTAAGGAATTAACAAAATCAAGGTAAATAGCTAATCTTTGGTCACCAAAATAATGACACGCTATTTTATTGTTACTTACTGAGTTTGCATATTAGTGATGGCTTGTCTGTAATTATAGTACGCAGAAATTTTTCTCCTAAGATTATTGAACACGCTACGCATATTCAGAAACAACACGGCATCAATCAAAGTAAATGAAACGCCATGAAGAATCTTTTTCGAGGAAGAAAATATAAATAATTTGGAAGATTTATCCAGCACTCAATCATAAAATTAACATGTCGCCTCATTACCATAATGTGCAAATAGTGACCCAAAGTAGCGACAAGTATTAAAGAATCGGTAACAAATTCCGTGTAATACAAAAAAAGACCTTTTGATTCCCAAACTCCCTGTCTATATAGATCCCCTAGATGAATCAAATATTTTACTAGAGTTTGAACTGTGTCCAGAAATAATGTAAAACACTGTAATTAACAAATAACCGATTAATAATTATTGTCAGACTGTTTTGAACGAGAAAATTAACGAGAAAATTAAATACCTCGAACGTTAACAGGAGAAACATGGAACGAAACACAGATAGACACATTATAAACCAGAAAATGTCTGATATTAAAATAAGTAGCAAGAGCGATATTATTCGCAAGTGGTCTTGGACTGGTGTATTCGGTGAAAATATTAACTAGAAAATGAAAATGAAAATTAAAATACACCCAATAGAATAATCTAAGGAAAATGAATAATATTTACGTATTCAAATCGATCACGGCAAAGCATGCTAAAAATCCTTAGAAATCCAAGTATACTGAACCATGTTGTCCATATTAATAACTGTTCTAGCTTCGGATCGAGTATTGCTCCGACAAAAACGAATTTAAATAATAGAAAATTCAATAGTCTGTCATACATGTGCTGAGTGCAAAAAAGAAAAAGGAATTAGTAGAAATTCGAATCATAGAATTCAAGTGAACTGAACGCTTACATATATATATATAAAACCATACCTGACTTTCTATTAATCGCAGTTTACCAAAAAAAAATCTTAAAGTAAATTTTCCAAGAAGATAAAGAAAGCAACAAGCTAAATTTATAGCAAGCTTACAAGTAGAAAATAAATTCTTAATCGCGTGATGCTTTTAAAGAGTATAAAGTACCCAGAATCCGAAAAAGAGAATATACTTACAAAGATTCTATAGTCAAAATCAACAAGATTGACCCCACGAAGGGAATGGTTAAACAATTCCACTGTCATAATGCAAAATAATAAAGAAACGTTCAAAGCAAGGTCTTTTTAGGACTAGGTCTATATATATCGTGCACATACATAAATATACATATATATACATATACATACATTATATATAATATATATATGCACAACATATACATACGATACTTGCCAAAATGAAACATTGTCGCACACATGGGAAAACTTGAGCTATTCAAGCCACTTTTTTGGAAAAATAATTTGTAAACCCTTGTTCGAAACAAGCTCAGGTTCGAGCTCGAGGTTGATTCCTCGTCTCCGCCCGCTCTTCTGTCAATATAAGTTGCTTTGTTTTCGAATATGGCCTCTTCCACTGACGACGATAATATCCCAGAGTCTCATTACCATTTTAATGCTTCGACTTTGGCTTTATCATCGAAAACTTTCAGGGATCCTAATTTATTGCAAACTTCCTTACAAGCCAGATTACCGTGGACCACAAAACCTACTAACAAGGGGGAAGAACAAAATCTATACGATGAAGAGTTGATACCACCCGAGAATTTTACCATGATAGCAACTTGGGTCTATCGAAGTAGCTTCCCAAAGAAAAAGAATTTTGCGTTCTTAAAAAAATTAGGTTTAAAAAGTATTCTGTTCGTATATATAGGATATATTTGATAATTTGCTTAGAAAAATAAAAGCAACCGTTTAATTATGTTTTTTAACAAGGACTTTAATTCTCGAAGATTATCCTGAGCTAAATATGAAATTTTTGGAAGCGAATAACATCAAATTATTCCAATTTGGAATAGCGGGAAATAAGGTTACAAGATTTCTAATTCGAATAATAAAAAATATTGTTTCATTTCATAACCCTAATGTCTTGTTATCATTATTTGTATAGGAACCATTTGTTCATAGTGAGTTCACATTTATTGCTAACCAGATTTTTTGATGTTAATTATTCTGTATCATCAAAACTTACTTGAGGGTTTTAATTACAGTACCTGAAGACAAAATATGTGACGCTCTCGCAGTGATTTTGGGTAGCTGTTCTTTGACAATTTTGTCATGCAATATCTTTTAATATTTAACTTAAAAAATCTGATAATTTTAGATAGACGAAATCATCCGATTCTAATTCATTGTAACAAGGGCAAAGTGAGCATTAACCACAGTTCTGAAAGTTTGAGATTTCCATCATCTTATTTACTACTACCTACTACTACTACTGCTACCACTATTATTTATTACTATAATAGCATCGAACAGGCTGTCTAGTTGGTTGCCTTCGTAAACTACAACGCTGGTCACATACATCAATTTTTGATGAGTATCGAAGATTCTCACATCCTAAATCTCGCTCTATGGATCAGCAATTTATTGAATTATTTGATGCAAGTCAAGTATGGAAGCTCGTAGATAAAAATTGGGTGCCGAATTGGGAAGTATTGGGTATGTATGTATGTTTAAGTGTTTTTTTATGTAAAGATAAATTTGTGATTATATAGAATTATTTTATTTCTCGTTTGATATTTAGAAAATCCATGGTGACTCAATCAAGCAGTTAGTTGGTAATATTTATTCCACTTTAAAGACAATTGTTGAAATGTCAACACTATCAGGGTATGTGATTCAAGAATATAAACGAAATATGATATCATATATATATATATATATATACACACACACATACAGAATTAGAAAAATCTACGTGTTACGGCGATCTTGTCCATTAATGCAGTGCTATCTGATTAAATTAGTATTTGCTATTAAATCTAATCTTGTTAATCTTGCATTTGACAAAGATATAATTATTCAAATGATGCAAGATTAAGTGTCATTCGCCTATGGGAACGCATAATCTATCTGCTTTAAGAGATGGCATCTCGATTTTCCGTGGATCTGAAAATTTTTTGCTTTACGATTATCTATCGTAATAATAATGATGTGAAGCTTTGGGCGTTGTTTTCTCTGCGTTTTCGCTGTACAGATATTGTACAGCGGAAGAGAGGACATTCTAACAGATAATTGCGCTTATATAAAGACCATTCGTTTCCCAGTTTAATTATCACGAAATAATATAATAAAGTTTTATTAATTAATGATATTTTAAATAGAGCCGTTATTATTTCGCAGACCACTATTTATTTATTTATTCAGTAACCATTTAAACTTTTACCATTTCAAACGACTTCTCTCGTTGAAGAGTTTTCCATAATGTATCGTGGATTATATCAACGAGCACAAAGCCCCATTCGTTCTACAGTATCATTTACTAAGCACTCTCAAAATGTTTCTGCAAAACTTTATCGTTCATTTCATCACTATCAAACTTCAAATTCCACAACCCGTCGTATAATACCCACCACAAGCAACTTCTATCGTGGCTCTTTACTTGCCCGAAATTCTTCAAACTCATACCTTGGCAGTAGCACAGCTAGAGTATCCTATCACTTTTATAGCACTGCTGTTGAGCAACATAGGGGTGAAGCAACAGCACCACCTATTTATGGGAAAGAAGTAAATGAGGTAATTTCAAATGTGAAGAAAGTTGACGTGAAGAAAGTTTTGGTGGTTGGCTCTGGTGGTTTATCAATCGGTCAAGCTGGTGAATTCGATTATTCTGGTAAGCATTATTAATTTGTATGAACATTCTATTTTTTGTTTGAAATAATTATATTCATTATTTTTTTTCAACTACAAAGGTTCTCAAGCGATTAAAGCTCTCCGAGAATCAGGAATTCAAACAGTCCTCGTTAATCCAAATATAGCAACTATTCAGACATCACATGCATTGGCAGATAAAGTTTACTTTCTTCCATGCACAATAGAATATCTTGAGCACATAATGGAAAGAGAAAGACCTGATGGAATTTTGCTCACATTCGGAGGTCAAACTGCCTTGAATTGTGGGATTAAGCTTAATTCCATGGGTGTTTTCTCTAGATTAGGAGTTAAAGTATTGGGCACTCCAATTAGAACTTTGGAGATTAGTGAGGATCGAGATGAATTTGCTAAAGCTCTTAAGGGTAAGCATAGTTCATTTTAATTAATAATACTCGAAGGTTTTCCTTTTAGATTTATTAATCATCCCTTTTTTACATGGAATAATAGAAATCGATATCCCAGTTGCTCAATCAGTGGCTGTCGAAACTGTTGAGGATGCTTTGAAGGCTGCCGGAGAAATAGGATATCCGGTTATCATTCGTTCTGCTTTTACGCTTGGAGGTCTTGGTTCCGGATTCGCAGAATCACCGCAAGAACTTCATACTTTAGCAACAAAATCGTTATCTTTAGCCCCACAAATTTTGGTTGAAAAATCAATGAAGGGTTGGAAAGAAGTAGAATATGAAGTGGTTCGAGATGCTGCCAATAATTGTATAACTGTTTGTAATATGGAGAATTTCGATCCCCTGGGTATTCACACTGGCGACTCGATTGTAGTTGCACCAAGTCAAACACTCAGTGATGAAGAATATCATATGCTGAGAACGGCAGCAATTAAAATTATTCGTCACCTTGGTGTCGTTGGAGAGTGTAATGTACAATATGCATTGAACCCGGAAAGTTTGGAATATAAAGTAATTGAAGTTAATGCACGTTTAAGTCGTAGTAGGTTCGTATTTTATGAATTTTTTTCATGAAAATTTATTTTCATTATTATTTTCTGAATCGGCTATATATTATCTCATTACTTATAGTGCATTAGCGTCAAAAGCAACCGGTTATCCTCTCGCATTTATTGCAGCCAAAATAGCATTGGGTCATACTCTTCCAGAACTTCGTAACTCTGTCACCAAAACTACCACCGCTTGTTTCGAACCATCATTAGATTATATTGTAACGAAAATTCCAAGATGGGATTTAAGTAAATTCCAACATGTACATCGTGATATTGGTAGCTCTATGAAGAGTGTAGGCGAAGTAATGGCAATAGGAAGAACCTTTGAGGAAAGCTTACAAAAGGTAAGAAAGTCATTTTAAGATGGAAAATATTTGTTCTTTATTATTATTTAATATCTCATTTATTTTTTTTATAAAGGCTATACGTCAAGTTGACCCCTCTTTTAAAGGATTCCAAGCTCACCAATTTCCAAATCTTGACGAAGTTCTCTCAAAACCCACCGATCGTCGTCTCTTCGCAATCGGTCAGGCGATGATCGAAAAAGGATACTCAATTGATCAAATTCATAATCTCACCAAGGTGGACAAATGGTTCCTTCATAAATTGGGTAACATCGTGGATATTCAGCATGAACTCAAACAAGCCGAATCCCTTCAAAATGTTCCAGATTATTTGTTAAAAGAGGCAAAGAGAAAAGGATTTTCCGATGCTCAAATTGCATCTTACTTGAATAATACCAACGAAGATGAAGTTCGAGCAGTTCGAAAACAACATGGCATTACTCCATATGTCAAAAAAATTGATACATTAGCTGCTGAATTCCCCGCGTACACAAATTACTTGTATACCACTTATAATGCCTCAACTCATGATATCGATTTCAATGATCATGGAACGATGGTTCTTGGTTCTGGAGTTTATCGTATTGGATCGTCTGTTGAATTTGATTGGTGTGGTGTCTCTGCGATCCGAGCACTTCGTGAAATGGGACTGAAAACTGTGATGGTCAATTATAACCCGGAAACCGTGTCAACAGATTTTGATGAATGCGATAGATTGTATTTCGAAGAACTTTCTTATGAGAGAGTGATGGATATTTATGAACATGAAAAGGCTAAAGGAGTAGTAGTTTCTGTAGGCGGACAATTACCTCAAAATATTGCGTTGAGACTACATGAGAACAAAGTAAACGTATTGGGTACGAGTCCAGTAATGATTGATAGTGCAGAAGATCGATTCAAATTTTCCAAAATCTTGGATAAGATTGGTGTCGATCAACCAGAATGGAAAGAATTGACTAGTGCTGAGGAAGCACAAGAATTTGCTGAAAAAGTTGGGTTAGTAAATAAAATTAGGCGAATATTTTTCCATTAACTAATATAAACTAATAAATTCTTTGTATCCTTTTCGTAGATATCCTGTACTAGTCCGTCCATCATATGTGCTTTCGGGTGCCGCTATGAATGTATGTCATACAGCTGAAGCACTTCATAAAAATTTATCAGAAGCAGCGTCAGTCTCACCGTTGCATCCTGTTGTTATCACAAAATTCATTTCTCCTGCTGGGGAGATTGATGTGGATGCAGTAGCACACAAGGGTAAATTACTTGTACATGCAGTGTCTGAACATGTAGAAAATGCAGGAGTACATTCTGGGGATGCTACTCTTGTATTGCCACCTCGAGATTTGAGCGAAAAAACAATGAACCGATTAAAGGAGATTGCCGAAAAAGTTGCCAGCGCATTTGAAATTACGGGACCGTTTAATATGCAAATTATTAAAAAAGACAATCCTAATAGCGAATCAGAGCTTAAAGTTATAGAATGCAACCTTCGTGCTTCTCGATCTTTCCCATTTGTATCCAAAGTACTTGGATTGAATTTCATCGACGTGGCTACCCGTGCATTAGTTGATAAGGATGTTCCCCAACCAGTGGATCTTATGGTAGAAAAACGGGACTATCAAGCAGTAAAAGTTCCACAATTCTCATGGACCCGTTTACAAGGCGCTGATCCATTCTTGGGTGTTGAGATGGCTTCCACGGGAGAGGTCGCATGTTTTGGCAAAGATAAATACGAGGCATATTGGTCGGCTATTCAATCTACTCAAAATTTCCGAGTTCCAAAACCAGGATCTGGTATTCTTATCGGAAAAGATGATCTCACAGACGAGCAGGATTTCGTAAATCTAGCAAATATAATTTCAAAAGACCTTGGTCACTCTCTTTACACATGCTCACCAAGCGTTACTCAATTCCTTGAACTACGGGGTATTCATGCAAAGACACTTGATCTTCCTGAAGATAAGAAAGCTTTGCTTAAAGTCTTCAAAGGCAACGATATTGACTTTGTATTCAATTTAGCTCAAGTAAGAGCTCAAAATGTGAATGATATAAATTACATTTCCAGAAGATCAGCAGTCGATTTTGGTATTCCTCTTGTAAATGACCCTAAATGCGCATTATTGTTTGCGGAGTCGTTAAAATTAAAACGTGAAGAGCGATCAAAACTTGAAAAGGGCGAGCTGCCATCAGAAATTAAGAGCTGGGCGGAATACATTGGAGGAAATAAATGCTAAACGTTTACGTTATATTTTTAACTTCCCCTTTTTTGTAATAGTAATATTTTAAGATTTGCTTTTTTGCTTCATTTCTTTAATAAATATCATTAACTATTTATTTGTTTAATCTTTTTATATATTATAAAAATCTTGGAGTATTAGCGTATGGTGAATTCCAAAATATCGCCAGGAAATACAAAACCCTTATTTCTCATCAAGTTATCTATTTATATCTCGCTTTTTTTATTTTACACACGTGTATTGATCTCATGTAATATTTTTTTGTCATTTAGTTTTAAATTTCCTTGCGAGACAGATAAAGGTGTGTTATTAGAAAAATCAAGTTACGAATAACTGTATATATAAAAAAATTTCATTAATAAAATAAAAAATTCATTTTAAATTATATTTTTTGTAATATATTTATATTAAACAAAAAAAATAATTTAAATACCAAGCTAAATAAGATCATACAAAATAAATTTTTAATATAGAACAAAAATATATAATCTTTGTTTAAAATTTAGCTTATAGACAAGTATTATAAGTAAAATTGAATTATTTATAAAATAAATAATAATTAAATTATTTTAAATATTTCTTAAATTAATATAATTAATCTTTAAATAAAAAAAATAAGATATATTCAAAAAAAATAATATTTATTTAATCTTTTTTTATTATTATTTCAAATAAAGAAAACAAAAACTATAACTAATCAAGGTATATTATTTTTTATTTTTTTTAATATTTTAATAATAATTAGAAAAATATATATTATATTCTTAATTAATAAATATTATTGATAGATTTAATATTTAAAAATTAAAATAAAATATATAAATTCTAAATTAATTTGAAATTTTAATTTATTTTAAACTAATTTAAAATTATTAAATAATTAATTTAAATTATAAATTATAATTAAACTCTTTTAAATATATATTTTTTAAAATATAACTTTACTAAATACATATTTTTTATTGATTTTTTATATAAAACTTATATATTTATTTTATATTTTTTTAAATATTTATTTTGAAATATTATATTATAATTAAATTATTTTAAAATTAATATAAATTTTATTTTAACTTATAAAAAAATAGTTATATTATAATAATATTCTTAATAAGATAATAAATAAATATTATATAATTATAATTAATAAATTTTGAATTATAATAAAATTATAATTTAATAAAAAATTAATAATAAATAAATATTATATATAAATAATCTTCTCTAAATATATCTTTTATAAATACATATTCTTTCTAAATATATTCTTTAATTTGATCTCAAGTTAAAATTATAATGCTAAATATATATTTTTCATATTCTATATATATAATAATTTTTTAAGTTTTAGTTTTATTATATTTAATATTTCTTTATAAATATATAATATGAAATTAAAAATTACATATATCTAATAAAAATTAAGTTATTTCTTAATTATATTATATTATTAATTAATACAGATTTTGATTAATTAAAAAAAATTTACATTATAATTATTATTATTCTAAGATTATATTAATTAAAAAGTTAAATTATTATAAAATAATACTTATTTATAAAGAAAAATTTTTTTAATTTGTGTCTTATAATACTTATTATATCATGCAAGACAGATTTATTTATATTATATTTGAGAGTTTATAAAAAATTTTATTCTGATTACTATATTTTAATTATTATATTCTGATTTATTATAAATAAATTTTTTTCTCTCTTTAATCTTTTTATTATCTATTTAAATTTATTTTACTTTAAATTAATTAAAATTATTTATTCATTATTAATATTATTCAAAAAAAATAATTCTAATTAATATTTAAAAATATGAAATATATTTTTATACTTATAATAATAATAAAAAAATTTATAATAAATATGGACCAGTGCAAAAAGATTGGTATATCAATATAAAAATCAATAATTGCTT